GTAACTACCATATAAGTGAAAACATCATCGATGGTAATCTCATTTTAATTCCATTTAGCTTATCCAAACTAGTATACTGTACCAAGAACTTCAAGTCTCGAGAGTAATCCGGATTAATCTCATGAGATGGAAATGATTTGAGATAGCAATCAAGTATGGATTCATTTTGTGTCGTGTCTTCCTCTTCTAGGGAAGTGAATCCTATGAACCTAGTGATCTGTCCAACAATGACATCTAAATTGTCCAACAATGGCGGCATACCCTCCAAGTATGTTGACTCAACGTCCGTTAAGTACGTTTATCCTTGTAGGCATGTTTGCAGCTGGTATATGATCTCGTCACTTTAGCTAAATCAGAAGAATGCGTCTAGAGAAACATTTTGAAAGCTAGAATTCATTGCACTTGCTTATCACACTTGTGCGGTATGAGGATTGAGATGAGACATAGTGGGCAATGTCCACGCAAATTCGCGCCGTTCTACAAGAACGTTGATGTTCTTATCTCCCCCTAACAACAGGAAGATTGTCTCATTAAAGTGACAACCCGCAAATGAGCGGTAAAGAGATTGCATGCAAGGGCTCGAAGAGAGCTAGTGTGAAGGAGAATCATGATCGACAAAGATTCACATCCTTCTTTGAAAACCTATGTTGGTATGTTGCGGCAGCTCAACTTAGCACATGGAATGCACACCCAAATGCGTAAATATGAAAAACGTCAAGTTCATACCCAGTGACCAACTGTAACGTCAAAATGGTTGGGTGGCAATGGGCCTCAAAGCGGACCAACATAACTGCGTACAAGATTGCATAGCCCTAGGCAGAAACCGAAAACTTTGTACACTTACCAAAATCCAGGCAATCATTGAAATTGCGCTTTATGATCGCTAGGCGAGGCTATTTGAGGTGAACATGAGAATTCGATGTTCAATTATAAACCCAAAAGACATGCAATACTTTATTGCAAAACCGTCAATATAAACTCTCCGGCATTATCTAGTATCCGGGACTTTATGGGATAAGTAGGGTGGTAAACCCTTAATCGGCCATGGGGTTTAGCAACAATGTGTGTGGACAAACATGTGACCAGTTTGTCGATTCATCAACCAAAACCATAAGTATTTATATGGTCCGCATTTTGGTTAGATTAGTCCACATATATTCCCTTGAATCCACTGTGAAAAGAGGGTCGTTTCGTATCTTTGTGAGGGATGATTTAGAAAATCAATTTCCCTAATGAGCAGGCTTGGCAAAGTGTGTTTATAGGTACAAAATCCTTACTCCGGGTGAGGAGATGCGTTGTAGCATCATTGTTCGACCTAAGTGTCCCAAAAGGTCGTGCGAAAACAAGTAAACTGCTCAATCACCAGGCTCCTGGTCAGCCACATGTGGTGTGTTCCTAGTTGGAAGACAACCCATTGGCCCCAAATCATAGCTTCAGGCTCATTTTTAGAGGTGGTGCAAAGATATGCAACTCTATCATGTCGAATATCCTTAAAACCCCAAAACGGTGAGAATATAAGGCCTTTTAAATGGTAATTCAGTACCATTCATACAACGAGGAGTGTGCCAATGCTCTTAATCAGGTTGGATAGACCTGAAGTCGCTGCTAGAGATGTGATTTAGGTGTAAAGTTAATGTGCGTAGTATCACTTTCATCCAAACAACTAACTTTCCCACATTCCTACCTAATCACGTATTTAATTGAATTCGATCACATGTATACAAGAAACATGATTCAATTAACTCGTATTCGAGGACAATATCAATAAGATTATCTATAAGTAAAACAAACACCAAATATGAATCCAAGAACATAGAAAAATGTTCACAAAGTAAATGGTTTACTAAGGGGATTCGGCCAACAAGGCCATCCATGTCAAAATTCTGCTATTCCAACGGTGTTTGGTGGAGCAAAATTAGTCTCACATATTGACTACTAGAATGGTACTCCTCAACAATATTGGTAGGGGCAAGAATAGGTGCATAACCAATGATCTATTCCATCAAGACAGAAGTAGATTCTGCATGGTTAAGGTTCAAAAATATTATCCCTTATTCTTGAAGTTTTAGGTCTTAGATGCCAAGGATCATGCTTCGGTCATGATGCCACACCCTGGCAGGCCTTGATTCTACCATATGTTGTAAAAACAAACTCGAAATTGGAGTGTGAGAGACAGACCCAAAATTGGATTGGGTAGGCTCCAGCCGAAGCTGGAGAGGTTTGTTTGGTAGGCCTCTGCCAGAGCAGAGAAGTACAATTCGGTGCACCTCTATCAAAGAAGAGCATGCCCTTCAGTGCATCCCTGCCGAAGCAGGGCATCACCGTTTGGTAGGCTCTGATCGAATTGGGTTAAGCTGTGCGGTAGACTCTAGTCGAAGCTGGGTCTATACCGTTATGGAGACTCTAGCCGAAGCTGGGTCTATACCTTTTTCTCACGTTTGTGGTAGTAATCAGATCCGAGAATGTGGTAAATTTCTGCTTTCTACATTGTTGCTTCAGGAACGAGTTAGAAATAAGGAAGGATGAGAAAAGTATTCTCTAGTCAAAATTTGATCAGATTTATACGCAATATCTCGCATGATCAGACAGTCCGTAGGAGCGAGCCAAAGAGCCATGAAATCCTTGTTCGGAAAGTACTTCTGTTTGTAATGCTTCGAGCATAAGTTTTCGAATGAAGATCATGACAAAGGCTTATTCAGCTCTTCCATGCTATTGTTGGCTACAATGGTTTCTCAGCTTCTTGATAGTCAAATGTAGATTCACGTCTTGTACCCCACATAAAGTGGTTTCTATTAGAAATGTCCAAGTCAGAAAAATCGAACTTGTGACGGTTCGACAATCCACTGAATAGAGGGAACAAGACTGTGATTGGTGTTATGGGAATGAATCATCCACAAGCATCAAAATTAGAACATTCAAGTTCTAAGACATGGTTTTCATGAAAAAATTCGAATTTTCATGGGTGTATTGTTTTATGAAAACTTCGGGTTTCAAATGCACTAAATTTGATACTACATGTTTAATTTATTTTATGAACATTTAGTTCATAACAGAGAGGTTTCTGCAAGAACATGGAATGCAATATGCTGATTTAAGGGTAATGGATTTGAGTTGCTTCGGGAACTAAAGTGTGAGTGCTTTAGCACTATGAAAGTGAGTCAACAGTTCAAAGAAAAGAAATAAAAATATTGAATCGTTAATGTCCAAAAGTGATATTCAGGTTAATAATTTTGGATTAATTATCAGATTAATGGACTACATGTAACTTTTAATTAATTCAATAGATCGAAACCATTCGGGGTCGATCTTAGAAGCAAAATAATGACTTCGGGTCATATTTACTTTAGATGACTTCGGGCCAAATAATTAAGAAAATATAGCCTAGTGCTGCTTTAACAAAAATCGTCCAAAAAATATTTGGGTATGGTTATGAAGCGGGAATGCCAAAAACAGGACATTGGGTTCAGAAAAAAAATCACAGCACAACATGTGTGGGCTGGTTGTGTGAGGCACGGCCCTGCAGTAAGCTGTAGGCCTTGGGCTACATAACATAACTGCATATCAGCCCATAAAAGCACCCAAGTTGTAGGCTTGCAGCAGAGGAAAACAAGCCTAATAGGGCTGTGAGGGAAAGACACCTCAGCCTTAGCTAGGTGTGGGTTGAGTGCGCAAGAAAAGCCCAACTGTGCTGGCTTGGTCCCAGTGGAAAAACAAATTGCTGGTATGTGGGCCAAAAGTTGCAGGTCTTCAGTAAGGAGCCCAGACGCATGCCTTGCCTGGTTCTCACGCACATGTAGCAAGCCCAAAAAGGTTGCTACCTCACAGTTCCAGCGTTCAAGCCTCAAGCTTAAGGTGAGGTTGGCGTGGTGGCGCGGCTCCAGGCCACGACTAAGTCGTAGATTTTCCAAATTTAAATTTCCTGTTTTTATTTTTTTTAATTCTAGGGTTTGTAAAAAAAAAACCAAAATTGCTTCTATTTTCTTTCAATTCTTTGACTTACAAATTCCACATAGGAAAAATTGCGTAATGCATGAAACGTATGTATATATTGACGAATATATGAAACATATACAATATATATATATATATAACGGAAGGAAACTATAAATATAGGGGGTTCATGCATCATGGGGAATGCTTTCATGCTTCACGGTCATTTCAAATATCTTCCTTTATTTTAAGCGTACCTAATTGGCAGAAAACAACAAAAGCCTTTGACTTTGTAGATCCTTCTTGAAAAGTCGGAATTGCATCTCCAATGCGTTGTATCACGTTCAACAAAGAGTAATTAAATTGAATCAATCGCATGTAGATCAATACAATAAAATAATAAATTAATCATAAAAAGAATGATTAAAACATAATACTTCCCTTATTGAAGATCAAATTCTCTTTAGCGCAACGTCAAGAGTGTGCTGATAACGTGTTGTATGCATAATTTACTAAACAATTACGGAGGCCTTATAGAGAGGGGTGCGGCAATGTTAGAGAGAAAGAGAGATATGTGTAATTGTGAGGTGTGTTCTATTCCACCCTATTGTGCCTCTATTTATAGTAGTATGGAAAGTTAATTCATTACCTTTTTAGGATTACAACTCTAATAGGATATTAACTATTAAAGGAAATATTCAAACATATACCTAGATACACTAGGATTTACACAATCACATTCATATTCTAATAGAATTGCAACACTAACTTTTTTTTCTGAACGATAATAAGGTACTAACTAACCACTATATTTTAGGAGTTCTAATGGTCGGAACCTTGTAAAGGTGTAAAATTGGATATGTTCCCTTTACATCGACTTCTCTCTCCTTTTGAAGGAATAGGGCTTTTTTTTTATTTTGGTAGAAGTATATTGGGCTTCCGAGTTCTGATCCAATATGTTCCTTTACAGATGGATTGGGCCGGTTAGTTTCCTTGGTATGAGGCATTTGGGCCTTGACTAGATAATGTGGTAAAAAGAAGGAATAAAATTAAATTAAAAAAAAAAAAAACGCGTGAACAGCAGAAAGAAATCCTCTCGTTTCTCTCTCGGTCTTCAGCCAGAGTCGCCTCCTCCTCCTCCTCTCAATCTCATCTGCTCCGCCGTTACTGCTACTGTTTTACCAAAGGTACCTTATTTTTCTTCCCTAATTTCTGAATCTTCAAGTTTGTCTTTGATGTTGGACAAACCAAGGGCTTATTGAGAGACGAGGGATATATAACTTGGTAATCACTCAATCAAGGCTAACGAAGCTCGCTAGACATTACTAATCATGGATTTACTCACACAACCAAACCAAATACTTGATTTGAGAAGAAGAAAAATACTCTTTTCAGTTGCACAAAACAATATATTTTAATTCATTTAAGTCTCCCTTAAACATACATATGAAGTCCTTTAAATAGAGAGGTTACAATACATTAGTAGGATAGATACTTAATACCAATACTATAGTTTCCAAGCATGTAATTAAAATATGGCTTTGATAAAAAGCCACGAACAACATGGCATCAATTCAAACTCCTAGTTCCCATCGTAGAATTTCACTTGATTGTTATGTGTCAGTTTTATGTGTTTATCTAGTCTGTATATACACTTCAAGTTATACTTTGAAGACATTTGCACGTTGAGAGTCCATTAGGTCTGTGTCTGATATTTTGTCCTCTTTGTTAGGGACATGCTGACAGTGGTCTTGACCGACTATGACAGACTAAAAAAACCTAGAGCTAAGCAACATTCAAGCGATATATCAGTCTGTTATCTACTATTTCTTCCCTCCGATTTCTGTTCTTGAGGATACAAGTGTTTAGTATTTGAACAAATGTATAACCATGAGCATTTTTTTTGTTTTCATTGGTATTTTGACAATTAATCTATGAAAAAAATACTCAAAGATTCAATTATATTGCTCAATTTAGGATAGTGTTTCCACTGGCAATGCATCATGATCTATATGTAATCCATAACTAAATTCATAGTTCCGCAGTCTACTCAAGTAACTGAATCACATTAAACTAAATAAAATTTTAAACCAAATGTAGAAATTGTACTAACTTGAAGAAGCCATGGAAATTGAATCAAAGTGCTCTTCTCCTCTCTGTACTCCAAAATGTTTAAGCTCTCGATAGGGCAAGCAATCAGTGATATGAACTTGTGAATAAGAGAGTATAAACCATTCCTAATGTGACCAAAATTCTTATCAACTCTTTGGTGTAGTTGTTTCAAGTTTTCCAGGTTTTGTAATTGCGGTCTTGTATACCATGTTTTCATAGTTTATATGTTGCCTGCATATATTTCTGTTGTTCTATACAAGAGAAGCTATTGGGGGAGGGGGAATCGAACTAAGGGCTCCAAAGCATGGGGTAAATGCTCTTAACTACTTCGGGTAAGGAATACAAAATGCTCTCTCATGAGTTGTTAACCGCTTTCGGGTTCACACCAAATAATAGAGGCTTGCTTGCCGAATTATTATGAGTATTGATTTCTCTTATTTCATATCGTAGTTTCCACCAAACAAACGTGGCCTTAGATATACAAGTGACCATCTACCACAATGGTAAAAAAGAGTGTTGTCATTGCACAACAGTGTGAGTTTGGACCCTGTCGGTTTCCTAATATAATATCTAATTTAACAAATCTCTAGTTTGACCAAAAAAAAACGTGGCCTTAGATATTTCTTTTCAATCTCCACAACAGGTTTTTGTGTTTCACTTATTTAGTGTGTGAAAGGCAGACGAGGCGTCGATACCGGTGGCCAACAGAAGGGAAGCTAAGCTACATCAACTACTGGTAAATTTACCAGAAACTGGCACTATCAAGCCAAAATTTTCAACATTCAAGTTGGAGTTGGTGGCCTAATTTTGATATAGTCAGCCTTCAGTATAGTCAAGTGGAAATCGGAGTTAAGATATAACAACACAAAATTATAGAAAATATTGGTTGTGCGCTCCAAAATTCGAAGAAATTTAATGAGCTGATTTGAACAACTTTTAAAAGATAATACTCAACTCTATGAGAAGAATTGAGTACAACTAAAATCGAGTTGTAGTCCATTGTGAAGCTTGCCCACATCGTTTGTTTAAATAAAAAATAAAAAAAAAGAGTTGTAGCCACCCCTAAAAATAGTGCAGCAAAAACGTCTCAAAAGGCTGGTCTGTAATAAAGGGAAGTTGTAACTAGGGTGGTAGTGCTATATACACATCATTTTTTTACCTTTAAAATACTCTTTTCAACATTCGACGATTAGATCGAAATAATTGATGAAGACCAAATGATAAAAAATAATAAGGGGTGGAGGAGAGGTTAAAAAATGTGTGTGAATAATATTACTCTTTAACTATACCTATACACTCAACCCCAAAACACCCTTTACTAATTGAGCATCTGTTTGATTACCACTTTATTTTTAGCTTTTGGTTTTAATTTTTTTTGTGTTTAGATAAGTGAAAGTATGTGAGAGAAATGAGAGATTAAGAAGAGTGATGGGCGAGAGAGGATAATAAACAAGAAAAATTGAAAACAAAATCTTGAAAATGTTACTTAAAGTTGTATTTGGTTTTTTTATTGGGGCGTTTTGATATAGGTGCCTCGTTTTTTAATTTTTTAGACTAAACATACACTCCTTTTGAAAATTTGATTAAACATTTTCCTAAAATTTTGGTTATTAATTTCAGCTTTTTCACATAAGTTCAATTTTGTTTAGAATTTTAGTTTTTCACAACTTCTCCTGGGCATTTCATTTTTTTTCTTTTCCTATTATCCCTATATTTATGCATTTATTATCCATCTCTATGCATTTTTTTTATTGTTTGTTATAATTTTTACTTTTTTTGTGTGAATATAGTAGAATATTTGTAAAAAAATTGTCAAATTTTATTATTTAGAAGATCCAACACATAATAAATATTTGTTTGATTATATAGCTACGTCTAGTTACCTATAATATGGACACATTTAGTTTTATAGTGGATTTGATTTTTTGTATTTCTCGGTACATTTGGAATGTAAATGTACCAAAAGGGTTATCTAATATAGACATTTGATTTTGTGGTACATTTGGGATTTTTTGTTCATTTGGTCTTTTGGTACATTTGGAATCTAAACATACCAAAATGGTTACCTGACAATGGGCACATTTGGATTTATGGTACATTTGAAATTTTGGTACATTTGATTTGTCTGTATATTTGAAATCTAAACGTACCAAAAGGGTTACATAATAATGGGTACATTTGGTTTTATGATACATTTGGTTTCTCGGTACATTTGAAATCTAAACGTACCAACAGTTGATACTTTTGTTTTCAAATGTACCATAAGTTTTAAGTATATTTTTTATATATCTATACGTGAAAAAAAAATGTATTGAAGACTTTTATTGAGACATTTTTAATAGAAAGATATATATTTTTTTAAATACTGATAATAAGGAAATGAGGAATTAGTTAATTAATTTTTTATTTTATTTTATTAAAAATGTCATTTAATGCATAGAAGGGGATTGACGAAATTAAATTCCTATATTATAGGCAATTAGTTGCTAAGCTACCTTATGCCTCTATATAAATGCATTTAAATTAAGGAAAATTAATGATATGAAAATTAAATAAATAGAAAATTATTGAGGTGGCAATTGATCAAAGCACCTTAATCAAATCTTTAAAAGAGATGCATGTTTAATCTAACAACTATAGAAAAGATGTAGGGCATCTTTAAAAGAGATGCATGTTTAGGTCAGGTTTGGGAGTGAGGTGATTAAAAAAAAAGCTGGGATGAAAAAAAGCTGGTAGCAATTTTGGTGTTTGGTAAACTTTGAAAAACAACTTTATTTCAAAGTTGAGGGTGAAAAAAAGCCCAAATCCTGAAGCTGATCTGAAGCTGTAGCTTCAGAAAACAGCTTATTTTCAAAACACGGAGCTACAGTATTTCTTTTAATGAAATTTTCAAATTACCAATGTTGCCCTCGATTCTCTCTCACACATTCACGCCCTCTTCTCTCTCGCACGCCCTTCTGAAATCGCCCTCTTCTCCTCCTCCTCCTTTTCCTCTCTCTCCGTCGGTCTCAGCACCAGTCGTCGCCTTCCCTCTTTCTATCGCCGTCGCCTTCCCTCTTTCCTCTGGTAAGCTTCTCTTCTCTAAAATTTTGTTATTTATTTGTTTGGATTTTTTAATTTGGGGATGGGGAGAGTGAAAGAGGGGTGGGAAAAAACAAAGGGATGAGTGTATGGGTGTCGAGAAAACTGGGGATGGAGAAAACAATTGGGGAAAATTTGGGGAAAAAATTAGGGTTTGTGGAGGAAACAAGAAAATTTATGCGCTGGGGAGAATGTGTATGTTGTGTGCTGTATGCTATATGCGCAGAGTGCTCTGTGTGCTGGGGAGAACCCGGCTGGCTCACCGAAACAGAAAAACAGGTTCAGTGGTAGATTCATGTTTAGACCCAATTTTAGATTATTGAATATACATGTCCAAGAAATCTTTGTGTTAGTAAGATTCCGAGAGTAGCAGTAGATTTCATTATCTTCTTAGTTAAGCGGGAACGGGCGATGAGGTTGGTAGTCGAAATTTCGGGTTTTTTGTTTTCCGTGCTTAATTTTGTTGCATTTGTTGTGACCAACTGGAGTCAATAAACGATAGCTTCTTACGGGATAACACTTGTTTCGAATTCATTGATATCTATGATTGTGAAAATATTTACTGCCTATATTAACTCAGTGTGAAGTTTTGGTGGGGAAGGTATGGATACGATGGTAATGAAAATCGAAGTTCACATTTCTATAGTTAGGTTAATGGAGAGCTCAATATTGGTGTTATACTTTTTGAAAACTAACACATTCATGTTGTGAACCTTTGTTATGAAGCCAATTGTTTAAGAAAGTTATGCTTTATGGTTAATTTAGTTTCAGATGTTGTGTTCTGCAGCCCATCATGACTTTTAATTCCTAGTTAATTTAGTTGGAGAACCACACTAGTTGTGCTTTACTTTGAATTTTGCTATGATCACTTAAACTATATGAGCAATGATTCACATGTGGTGCAATATTTCTGTCTGCTTGTTTTTTCCTTGGTGGTTCCCATTTTTGGGCTGCATCAACATGGCAAGAGTTTGTCACTCACCATTCCCTTCCCCCAAATAAAAGGAAAAAGTATGTGGACCTAAATGCTTATTTAGTCGTTTGCTGTTAACCACTAAAGTTTTTCATTAAAAAGAATAGATCAATACAGGGGCAAAGTTGCCCACAAATTTATTGTCTTTTGTAGTCATTCATATGTGAGATTGAGTTCCTAATTAAGAAAAAGACAGAAAAGGGAGGGAGTGTTCTATGTTTGGTTTGATTGAGACTTGTACACCTAAGCTTTGTGATTGTTCTTCTGTGGAGGTCCATTTTTTTCTTCTACTTCCCCTTTAATTTGTATTGTTGCTGATTTAATTTGCCTTTGTGTAATGGAATTCCTGAGCATTGCTTCTAATTACTGCTATTTCTCATTTTTGGTTCAATTGTTACATCAATTTTTCTTTTGTTCTCTGCTACTTGGTGATCGTGAGATGTGAATTGGGAATTTGAATTTGTTTGTGTGTTTGTGTGAGAGAGATATTGGAAGCTTTGTAGGATGTGTAGACAAGTATATGTATAAGGATCGATTACAACTAAACCAACATGACAGTGCTTAAAACGATAATCGACTTTATATGATGCAACTGCATCTCCCTATCAGAGATGCAATTGCTGTCAGTTTGTGTAGGTTACAACTGTCTTTTATTTGAATTGATAACCACCTTTAGTTTTCCCTCTAATATAGAATTAATCCGGTGTAATTCATATAATTGAGTCCTTGCATAATACAACCCTTTCACTTGTATTGTGTATCTGCACTGTGGTTTAAATGACATTTACA